GCGTTGTTCTTCTGTCTCGTTGTCGGCCATGAAGACGCCGAAGTAGAGAGGGGTGTAATTGTCTTCAAAGCTTTCGTCGAAGTCGTCGAGGTCGCGGTTGTCATAGCGGTAGCCGAATTCGTCGTACTCCACGATCTCTGTTGGTCGTGAGTCGACGCCGGGGGAGCTGAAGTAGCCTTCCAGTTGATCTGTCGAAATCGTGCCGAGTGGCTGGAGTATGACGCCGACTTCCCTGGAGCTAGGCATGATCGGTGTTGACGCCGACTTCCGCCTAGGCCTACGGGGAGAAGACACCCTTGTAGTGAAAACGGCAGCCAAATCGTCGGGGAGTTTCATTAGGATTGGCGGGTAGGCCCCATCATCTTGATCTGGTGGTGTTGGAATAGATGGGATTTCGTCCGAGTAGTTTGAAGCCGACTCGATCGAGATAAGCTTGGAGTAGATCTTGGCCGAGTTCGGAATACCGAACAGGGCTGAGACCTGGTCCTTCCCTGACTGGATTGAATCCGAGTCAAGGAGAGAGATCTTGCCGAAATCGTTGGTGATGAAGTCAAGGCTGCCGAACCGAAACGCCTGCCCGGGAGGGAAGACGAGGTCGTCGATGCCGGAGACGGAACCCATCGCACTAATCGGCGAAGAACTTGACGCTACCCCTACCTGGCACGCCAACTGTCGAAACAAGATTTCGGCAATACTTAAAGGGGGTGGCTATTAAGCTAGAAAAGTGGATGGATTTGAAGACAAGGAATTTTATACAGGTTCATGCCTTCTTATTCAAGAAGTAATACCCTACTCCTGTCCGGGGATGATTCCGCCGAGTATATATTGATCGTATGATCTAGGGAAAAAGAAGTGTCCCGAGAGGAACCCAGACCCCTCCTTATATAGGGGAAGGGGTCCGTATTACAAAATACAGTCCATATCCCTAACGGAATATATGATTACAGATGAAATACAATCGTAACCGACTAAGATCCCGGGTATTTCCTTGACATACAAGTTTAGAAACTAATCCGAGTCATCATAAAGATATTCTATCTATATTTGGTATTGTGTACCCAACTAAACTATAACTGTCACGTAGATATGAGATATCCATAATCTCCACACCACACGTCGATCCACTTGTTTTCTTTATCTGGCGCCGTTGCTGATCAACTCAAGGGCTATATGTGTACGCATCTGCACCGTGCAACACGTACCGAAAAAAAATGAAGCGACACACGTGAAATGAACCGTGTGTGTACAATTTAGTTACAACGAAATGATAAATCAAATTTAGAGCTGGTTTTGCGTAAGACCGTTCGCAATGTATACAGATCCAATGGCTGTTTTGAGGAGACCATACATTGCGATCTTTACACGCATGGAAACCTCCGGTCCGGTATACCGTATACGTATACGGTGTGTTTTCCACGAACCCAGTGCGAGGCGGCAAGCCAATGGCCATTAAATTGGGAAGTCAAGTTAATTAAGCCAGGGTAGTCGTGTACACCGACTCGCAATGCTTCGAAGCCCGGTACAAATAAAAGATGTAGCCGGTGTCCGACGCACAAATATTTTTCAACACGCTCGCAAGATCGTTTTAGCCATCACGTACGCCCAGCAGTCTCTACGCACACCGGTACGTGAACCCAAATGGATTTCTCTACTCGTCGTCTCCGCGTTCTCCTGCTGGTCCTCGCCGTCGTCGTCGCGTCGGCCGTCCAGTACTCCGGCGCCGGCGCCCACGCGGCCAGAGTCCCCGCCGTTCTCCGGGAAGACGAGACGACGACGACGGCCACGGATGGCCTCGCCTGCAGGCATCGTCGTCGTGCCAGCGCCGTCGTCGTCACTGCAGCAGCCGCGCCGCCCCTCGTCCCCGTGCACGCCGCCGCCGGACACGGTGTGCCATCAACCAAAAGCTTCAACGAGGGCCCCGCACCTTCGACGACCGGCGGCGGCGACGACGGTCATGCCATCTTCGCCGCCGCCGCCGCCGCCGGGCGTGTCAGCTCACGCCTCGGCGGTGGCGGCGTCGGCGGCCGCGGCGGCGGTGGCTATGGTCGTGCGGGTGGTGGTGCCGGCTACGCCGCTGGTATGTACACAGGCGGCGGCACTGGCTCGGCGAAGGCTGACATCATAATCGATGTCCTCCTTGTCCTCACTTTGGTAGGAGGAATCATCACGATCGTGTGGAGTTTTTGCTTCATCTGTACTAATCAACAGGCGGACAGTGGTAGTACGGATCAAGATCCCAACCCTCCCCTGCCTAAACAATGAGGAGCTTCTTCGTCCTTCCCCCAACGCGTAATAGATTAGATCAGGGCTCGTTTTTAGATGGCCCAAAATTCTAGGCATATCCAGATGTGAAATACCTGTTTTTTAGCAATGTATTTTTTTCTATATAGCGGTATACATTTTATAACGCTAGTTAAATTGTTTCCATGTTGAATGAGCACGTTTTTTCTTTGTTGATAGTTGGGCGCCCATGTTTACACAACATATCTTGTACAAAATATGGCTGCATTGAAAATTTATCAACTATATATTATATTATATATGCACTGACTCATCCCATTCGACTAAAACCAGGTATATACGTCTAGAATAGACTATATATTAAAAAATGAAAGTTATCTCGAGAGCGGAGAGGCGATACGGCATGCGGCGAAGTGTGACGTCTAGCGGAAGGGTGCGACGGCAAGAAGGGATAGTGGAGCATATCTAGGGCACGGTGGATGGTACGATGGGGCTGCGGTGGCATAGAGCGTTGATGGAGAGCGGGGGCAATGAAATGCAAGGGAGGAGGAAAGAGATTGGTGCGGGGGCGCGGCGAAGTGTCGATGTAGAGGAAGAGAGACATGATCTGAACTATTGGATTTGGTGATTTGACGGTCCATATTTTGCTCGTTTTGCGTGAGTTAAGACTTAAGACCATCACTATGTTTTTTTTAAATAGCAAGGATAGATGAAAAGATGGATAAAAATAACTGGAATATTTTGTTTATGTTCTGTTCTAGGCCATCTTTTGATGATTTTCCCATTAAAAGAAATGTTGCCAGTGGAGTGTTGATAGCTGTTGCTTGTGAGCACTACTCCTTTCTTCCTTCCCTACCCTCTAAAAATGGCCAGTGTCAAATAGCTGTTTCTTGTGTTTTGAGACGAGTACAGGGTGTGTGTATAGGTATTATTAATCCTGAAAGTCGTAAGAGGATATGGTCCTATAGGCTATAGGGACATCTTAGGTGTTGTTCAGATTACTGCCAAAATCAACTTTTTCGAAAAAAATTGGCAATAACAAAAATTTTATGTTGTTTACGCTTCCCTTTTGTCACAAAATTTGGCTATAGGCCATATGGTATAAACATTTGTTCTATTGCAGCTAATATGGTGTAAACATGATGTATTAACAGTAGTAGAACAAATGTTTGTACCATATTTACACGATTTATCAATTTTAAGTCATGTTCTCCACATAATTACATAATATTATAGTGCTTCTATCCCATTAGAATGGTTGAGTCAATTAAAGTAACAACATAGAAATGTGTCATCCGATTTATTTTTTTAGAAACAAAAGGAAAGTCTACATTGTTCACATCAGCATTTTTGTTAAAAAAAAGGGGGGGTGGGGGGAAGGTATGCATTTGTAAACTAGTGATTTTTGAACCACAATCTTTCATCTAAATAAATTGTTTTGTTCCTAATTAAGCACTAAAAAAATTAAAAGATCAGCCATAAAAAAAAGTAACCATCTAAACTACGTGGAGTTATTTACTCAAGGATTAATGCTCGTGATTATTAGTCTCCTGAACTACAGTAATGCATAAGTACGGAGCATCTGAATCCTTACAAGTGAGTTGATCACTGGAAAGTATTTTCATGACACCTAGGTGTATGCATGTAATTTAAACAGTTATATAAAAATTTTATAAAATTTAATAAGATAGACCATGATAATATAAGACACTATACAAACATGCAAGAGTCTAAATTCGATCGATATATGAAGAAACAAAAATAATAAATTTTATCTGTACTGTACGGGTACTATTCACCGGATTTTATTATTTTGTTTCTCCAATTATAGATCAAATTTAGTCATGCATGTTTATGTATAGACTTGTATCATCACAAATGATGTTACTATTTTTTTTAATTTTTTCTATAACTATTTGAGTTGCATGCAAATAATGGGTGCCATGGTACCTAGGTGTAGAAAATCCTTGTCGAACACTTAATATGATCGAGCTTGATCACTTATCAATCCTCTACAACAAAGATATTGTTTCCATGAGCAAATTTTAAATCACGCTACTCAGATTTGTACAATTAATTCGACAATGGAGATATCGTCTAGAGAGAGAGGCGCAATGGAGGATGAGAGAGGAAGAGGTGCTCGATGCATAGGAAGAAAAACACGATATGAGCTGTTGGATATGGCGATCCGATGGTACATATCACGTGTGTTTGGCAGGTTAGAGTCAGAGTCGCACTACGTGGATATATAGTTTTGTGGATACCGAATTTTGCTATACTGGGTAATTTTAGCTTTATATACTTTCTTAAAATTTCTCTTGCTATGCTAGTTCAGAGAGGAAAGGAAAGCGTCCGTCGTTGGATCCTTCCTTGCAAATTAAATAACAGGAAACTTGCTTTCGGCTACGCACGGTATACAGATCTCGATGACAGTTTCTAAGGCATGCAGGGTCTTCACATAGAAACCTATGATCCACTGCTGCTATACGGTGCTTTCCACGAACTATACAGGAGTCGTACACTATGGAATGCAAGGTAGTACCGTACACGCCTATCCCTCGCAAATTCGCAACGCATCGTGATAGTACATCTTATCGAAGTCGGGCGGCGTCTACGTATGCATTCTTTTTTTTTTGGAAACGAAATATACGTATGTATATGCATCCGCTATAAATACAAGTGATCTACCGGAGCCTCTCGCCGCCGGAGTCCCACAAATAATCTATAGCTTAGCTAGCTACGTACACCTGCATTGGTCCATGGCTTTCTCTACTCGCCATCGTCTCCACGTCCTCCTGCTGGTTCTCGCCGTCGTCGCGTTGGCCTTGCACTCCGGCCAGTCCGGCGCCCACGCGGCCCGAGTCCCCGCCGCTCTCCAAGAAGACGAGACGACGACGACGACAGCGGCGCCCCTCGGCGTCGAGCACGCCGCGGGCGACGGACACGGTGTGCCATCAACCGAAATCTTCAACGTGGGCGACGCCGCGCCTTCGCCTTCGCCCTCGCCAGGCGACGGCGGTCATGCCATCTTCGGCGACGGCGCCGAACGTGCCAGTTTACGCGGTGGTGGCGGCCACGGCGGCGGTGGGCACAGCAGTGGCGGGCACAGCAGCGGTGGCGGCGACGGTCGTGCTGCGGGTGGAGGCGGCTACGTCGGCGGCGCCGGCGCCGGCGTTCCGCACCGCCGCTCCGGCAGTGGTTCGACGAAGCCAGCCATCATACCCGCCTTCGTATCGTTGCTAGGAGGAATCGCCATGGTTGTCTAGACGTGTTAAATATGTAATCTGAATTTTGGGTCCACAATATATTCGGATTAGTTTCCTAGTAGGAGTCCTATTATGTGTCTTTCTTTTATCCTCTATATATACTCTTGTAAGCCGTACGGGAAGGGGTGACGTTCTCATTGTGATTCCCCTACGTTTGTAATATCTCCTCTATAGTGATCATTGCCGGTCGGCGTCCGTGGTTTTTTCCCGCAAGTGTTTTCCACGTAAAAATTCGTGTCTCTGTTATGCATCTATTTTTATAACAAGTGGTATCAGAGCATTGGAGATCGATCTACTGCAGTCCCGACTACCGGCGATTTTTCCTGATCGAAGAAATCGATCTAATCGGTGGCACGCGTCGTCGTGTTCGTCGTTCCGTCGAATCAATCTGTTCGGCCCCCTACCTGTCGACTCCGAGTCGGCCTCGTCCCACGCCTGCGCGAGAAGAAAAGGCAGCACCGCAGCAGCAGCCGCTCAGGCGTCGTGAGAGGAGTACTACAAGCAGCGCACGCGTCACGAGGATTAAAACAATCAGCCGAGAGCTTGGCTGTTCTGTTCAGGCTTTTTTCCAGGGAGGAAATTGCTAAGCGCACCAAAGCTTGTGTACCAGGAAATCTACATACTTCGCTTTGTGCACACAGGAAGTGCACCGAGGTTTCGCGTTTTTGCTAGTTTACCCTAATTTCTTACCAGCAAATTCAGGATTAATTCCCATGGCGAGTTTGAAATATGATCTACCGCTCCTGGACCGAGACACAAGATTCTCACTTTGGCAAGTGAAGATGCGAGCCGTTCTTGCACAGCAAGACCTCGATGATGCGCTTTCTGGATTTGACAAGAGGACTCAGGATTGGTCCAACGATGAGAAGAAAAGGGATCGTAAGGCTATATCATATATTCATCTTCATCTATCTAACAATATTTTGCAGGAGGTGCTTAAGGAAGAGACAGCCGCTGGGCTGTGGTTGAAGCTGGAACAGATATGCATGACTAAGGATCTGACCAGTAAGATGCACCTGAAGCAAAAGTTATTTTTACACAAGTTGCAAGATGATGAGTCTGTGATGGACCATCTCTCCGCTTTCAAGGAAATTGTTGCTGACCTTGAGTCTATGGAGGTAAAGTATGATGAAGATGATTTAGGCCTTATTCTATTGTGTTCATTGCCTAGCTCATATGCAAACTTCAGGGGTACTATACTTTATAGCCGTGATACTCTAACTTTGAAAGAAGTTTATGATGCTTTTCATGCCAAAGAAAAGATGAAGAAGATGGTAACCTCTGAAGGTTCAAATTCACAAGCAGAAGGCTTGGTTGTTCGGGGCAGGCAACAGAAGAAGAACACAAAGAACCAATCAAGAGATAAAAGCTCAAGTAGCTACCGTGGGAGAACAAAGTCCAGAGGCAGGTATAAGTCATGCAAATACTGCAAGAGAGATGGACATGATATCTCTGAGTGTTGGAAGCTACAGGACAAAGACAAGAGAACCGGAAAGTATATACCAAAAGGTAAGAAAGAAGAGGAAGGTAAAGCCGCAGTTGTTACTGATGAGAAGTCTGATGCAGAATTGCTTGTTGCTTATGCTGGTTGTGCACAAACTAGTGACCAGTGAATTCTTGATACTGCATGCACCTATCACATGTGCCCGAATAGGGATTGGTTTGCCACCTATGAAGCTTTGCAAGGTGGTACTGTTTTGATGGGTGATGATACACCATGCGAGGTTGCAGGTATTGGAACAGTTCAGATCAAGATGTTTGATGGCTGTATCAGAACATTGTCAGATGTGCAGCATATTCCAAATTTGAAGAGAAGTCTCATCTCTTTATGTACTCTTGATCGCAAAGGGTACTAATATTCCGGTGGAGACGGAATTTTGAAGGTAACTAAAGGCTCTCTTGTTGTGATGAAAGTTGATATTAAATCTGCCAACCTGTACCATCTGCGAGGTACAACTATATTAGGTAATGTTGCAGCAGTTTTTGATTCATTATCTAATTCCGATGCTACTAATCTTTGGCATATGCGTCTTGGGCATATGAGTGAAATTGGTTTGGCAGAATTGAGCAAGCGAGGATTGCTAGATGGACAAAGCATCAGGAAGCTCAAATTTTGTGAGCATTGCATATTTGGCAAGCATAAGAGGGTGAAGTTCAACACATCTACACATACTACTGAAGGTATTCTTGATTATGTGCATTCTGATTTATGGGGGCCTGCTCATAAGACATCTTTTGGAGGTGCTCGTTACATGATGACTATCGTTGATGATTATTCGCGAAAAGTTTGGCCTTATTTCTTAAAGCACAAATATCAAGCTTTTGATGGGTTTAAAGAGTGGAAAACTATGGTTGAAAGACAAACTGAAAGAAAGGTGAAAATCCTTCGTACTGACAATGGGATGGAGTTCTGTTCTAAGATATTTAAATCATATTGCAAGTCTGAAGGCATTGTGTGTCACTACACCGCTCCTCACACACCTCAACAAAACGACGTAGCTGAGCGTATGAACAGGACAATTATATCAAAGGCCCGTTGTATGTTGTCTAATGCAGGTTTGCCTAAACAGTTTTGGGCGGAAGCTGTTTCCACTGCTTGTTATCTTATCAATCGATCACCCGGTTATGCCATTGATAAGAAGACTCCAATTGAGGTATGGTCTGGTTCCCCAACAAATTATTCAGACTTAAGAGTATTTGGTTGTACTGCTTATGCTCATGTTGATAATGGTAAATTGGAGCCTAGAGCTATTAAGTGTATTTTTCTTGGTTATGCGTCTGGTGTGAAAGGCTATAAGTTATGGTGTCCTGAAACCAAAAAGGTTGTGATTAGTAGAAATGTTGTCTTCCATGAATCAGTTATATTACATGACAAACCTTCTACTAATGTTCCTGTTGAGAGTCAGGAGAAAGCAAGTGTGCAAGTGGAGCACTTGATCAGTTCAGGGCATGCACCAGAAAAAGAAGATGTTGCTATTAACCAAGATGCACCTGTTATTGAAGATTCAGATTCTTCTATTGTTCATCAGTCTCCAAAACGTTCTATTGCAAAAGATAAGCCCAAAAGAAATATTAAACCTCCTCGAAGATATATTGAAGAAGCGAAGATAGTTGCTTATGCTTTGAGTGTGGCAGAAAAAATTGAAGGTAATGCCGAACCTTCTACATATTCTGAGGCTATTGTTTCTGATGATTGCAATAGATGGATAACTGCTATGCATGATGAGATGGAGTCACTTGAAAAGAATCATACTTGGGAATTGGTGAAGTTGCCAAAGGAGAAGAAACCTATCCGTTGCAAGTGGATCTTCAAAAGAAAGGAAGGTATGTCTCCAAGTGATGAGGCAAGGTACAAAGCAAGGTTAGTTGCTAAAGGTTATAGCCAGATTCCAGGTATTGATTTCAATGATGTCTTTTCCCCTGTTGTGAAGCATAGTTCAATTCGCACTTTACTCGGTATTGTTGCAATGCATGATTATGAACTAGAGCAAATGAATGTTAAGACTGCATTTTTACATGGGGAGTTAGAAGAGGACATTTATATGGAGCAACCTGAAGGTTTTGTTGTTCCTGGAAAAGAGAACCTAGTCTGTAGGTTGAAGAAATCTCTTTATGGGTTGAAGCAGTCACCTAGACAGTGGTATAAGAGATTTGACTCTTTCATGCTTTCTCAGAAGTTTAGAATATCCAATTATGATAGCTGTGTTTATCTTAAAGTTGTTGATGGTTCAGTTATATATTTGCTTCTTTATGTCGATGATATGTTGATTGCTGCAAAAGATAAATCAGAGATAGAAAAGTTGAAGGCACAATTGAGTAGTGAATTTGAGATGAAGGATTTGGGTGCAGCGAAGAAAATTCTCGGTATGGAAATTACTAGAGAAAGACATTCTGGCAAGTTATATCTTAGTCAGAAAGGTTATATTGAAAAAGTTCTTCGTCGTTTCAATATGCATGATGCAAAACCAGTGAGTACTCCTTTAGCTGCACATTTCAGATTATCTTCAGATTTATGTCCACTGTCAGATTATGATATTGAGTACATGTCTAGAGTTCCTTATTCAAGTGCAGTTGGTTCACTTATGTATGCCATGGTATGTTGTCGTCCTGACTTATCACATGCATTGAGTGTTGTCAATAGATACATGGCTAATCCTGGCAAAGAGCATTGGAAAGCTGTTCAATGGATTTTCAGATACCTACGTGGTACATCTAGTGCTTGTTTGCAGTTTGAGAGATCTAGAGATGGACTTGTTGGTTATGTGGATTCAGATTTTGCTGGAGATTTGGATAGGAGAAGATCGATCACAGGTTATGTTTTCACTATTGGAGGATGTGCTGTTAGTTGGAAGGCAAGTTTGCAAGCAACTGTTGCCTTATCTACTACTGAAGCAGAGTATATGGCTATTTTTGAAGCTTGTAAAGAAGCTATTTGGCTTAGAGGTTTGTACACTGAGCTTTGTGGAGTTACGTCTTGCATTAATATATTTTGTGATAGTCAAAGTGCAATATACCTTACAAAGGATTAGATGTTCCATGAGAGAACAAAGCACATTGATGTGAGATATCACTTTATTCGAGGTGTGATTGCTGAAGGTGATGTCAAGGTATGCAAGATAAGTACTCATGATAACCCAGCTGATATGATGACAAAGCCAGTTCCTGCTACTAAGTTTGAGCTTTGCTCAAGCTTGGTTGGTGTTACAGTATAGTCCTAGAGACTATTTGGCGCGCGGTGATTTTACCTACATGAGGTATTTTTGGTGATTGATGTTTTTATGCTACAAGAGGAAATTCGTCTCAAGGTGGAGATGGTTAAATATGTGATCCGAATTTTGGGTCCACAATATATTCGGATTAGTTTCCTAGTAGGAGTCCTATTATGTGTCTTTCTTTTATCCCCTATATATACTCTTGTAAGCCGTACGGGAAGGGGTGACGTTCCCATTGTGATTCCCCTATGTTTGTAATCATCTCCTCTATAGTGATCATTGCCGGTCGGCGCCCGTGGTTTTTTTCCGCAAGGGTTTTTCACGTAAAAATTCGTGTCTCCGTTGTGCATCTATTTTCATAACAAGACGTTTTCACGTCATTTTTGTTCTTTAGATTCGGAACAAAAGTTGCTGCTGATGAACACGACAGGCGGTGCTACAGATCAAAGATCTCAGCCTGCTCTGCCTCAAAACACAGGCGCACGATAGCTTATAATTAAGCAGCTCCATTGTTACGTAGAGAACTTTACATATCTTCAAAGAAACGGCTCATTTCCTCTTTTTTTTTTTGTAAAATTCCTTCGTGGGAAAGAAACTTCAAATGGGCTAAAATCTTAGCATATCCACGTCATGATCTCATTTCCCTTTTCTTTTTTGTATATGATGTTATTTTATTTTGTCTATAGCGGTAATTTCTATTGTTTCCCTGTTGACTTCTTAAAACTATAAAAGTACTCTCGTATATCAATATCTACCTTTTATAGTTACCCTGTTTAAAATTAAATTTGTAGTAAACAAATTATCTGCTCTACAAACTTGTCTCGTGACACGCCTCCCCTTTTGCTTTATTGCCTACGTGAGCCCACCTTAACAAATCACAAACCAATTCGAAGAAGTTTTTTTTTAAAGAAGGGGGCAATTGCACATTTGACCCTGTTTAAAAGCTAAACTATAAAGCCAAACTATAAATCTAATGCTTATTTGATATTGTTTTTCAAAATCAAAGATGAAGGTTGACCCTATTTCATTAAGGAACAAATAGTCCATTTTACCCTGGCTTATTTGACACAAGTTTAGCCCACACCGCCCCCTCCCTCCACTTCCTCTTTGCCGGCGCCGCCAGCGTCTTCCTCCTTGCACCGACGTCACCTCCCTCCCTCCGCGCCAGTGCCACACCTTCCTTCCCCGTGGCTCGCACAAGCGCCACCTCCCTCCCTTGGTACGTTGGCGCCGTTGCCGGATCCGCCCGCCGTGGCCCGAGTGCCGCTGCCGGATCCGCCCACCGCAGCCTGAGCGTCGTCGCCGGATCCGTTGACCGCAACTCGAGCTCCACCGCCTATACCCGCCGCCGTTGCCCTTACCCCGCCGGATCTACTTGTCGCCACCCAAGCTCCACCACCCAAACCCGTCGTCGCCAGGCACCTCCCTCCGTGCGGCCATCGCCGCTACTCCACTGTGCACCAGCATCGCCATCCTTCCACGCGCCGCCGCCGCTGCTCCTCATCCCTCCACGCGCCAACGCGGGCCCTCCCTTCGTGCGCGGCAGCAGCTGGCGGCGCTGCTCCTCCACGCATTGGCACCACCGCCCCTCCGCATGCCATCGCCGCTACCGCCAACAGCCGATAGAGATGGGATTAGGGTGAATGGATAGGGTTGGGAATGAATGGATAGGTCATGAAGGGGATTTTGGTCCGTTCCGTTCAAATAATACTTTGATTTTTTTTTTCTAAATGAAGCCTAACGGTGTGACAAAAAAATATTTATGTGCATAAATTTTTGTTATATAGACTTTATATATAAAAATAAGGACAATTTCGTTTTTGCCCCCACTTTCATCTCCAATATTGATTTTGCCCCTACTTTTTAGGGTTTTCGTTTTTTCCCCCACTTTTTTGAACTAG